CCCGAGGCCCCGAGGACCCCAGGATGCCGGCTCCGCTCGTCCCCGCCCGCTCCCCACCGCCGGGAAAGCGCACGGTCGGCCGCGCCGCGCGCCTGGGGCCTTGCGACGCTGCCGTAAGGGAGCGCCGGGCGCTGTCGCGACGCTGCCGTGCGCCGCAGAGCCCGTCAATTAGCGGCCATGGCGGCCTTGCGCCCGCCGACGAGGGCCTCCCTGCCCGCGCTGTGCCGCGCCTTCGCCGCCTCCGGCCGCCAGCGAACCCCGGGCCACGGCGCCGAGCGCAGGGACGCAACGCCGAGCCAGGTAAGCCGGGTCCCGGACCGCCCCCTTAACGCTTGCTCAGGGCGATCCCCGATTTGTCCTCTTCCTGGATGCTTGACTCTGTGTCCATTAGAGTTGACCCAAAGAAGGCTACCCCCAAGGCAGACCCCAGCCCTGCCATCTCAGAACAGACCCCAACTCCGTCCCGGTCCTGCATCCTCAGGGCAAACCCCCCACCCCGTCCCCTCCGTGCATCCTCAGGACAGACCCCCACGTCATCCCCACCTTGCACCACTCAGGGCAGACCCCCACCCCACCGCACCCTAGCCCTGTACCCCTCAGAGTGGATCCTAACCCCACCCTTGTCCTGCATCTCTCAGGACACACCTCAACTTCACCCCTGCCCTGCACCCCATAGGGCACCCCATCCCCACCCAGCATCCCTCAAGGCAGACCCGAATCCCTCACCCATACATCCACGAGGGCAAACCCCACAGGGGACCCTACAGCACTGATTCTTTCCTTTAAGTGGGGAGTTAAGCTCAGCGCAAGGTCCAGAGGAAGGCCCGAGAGGGATGATGGGTGGAGAGGGACCCTGGATGTGGGGTGCAGACATTGTCCTTCCCTCATACCCAAGCAAGTCCACAGTCTGGAAGCACTGTGCCAACTCCAGTGTCCCGTGGGCAGGCAGGGCTGAGAAGGACAGAGCCAGGGGACTGTTCCCTGACAGCAGTGTCTGTGGGTGCTTCTGTTCCCGGGTGGCAGACAAAGCTTTCATCCAAGGATGTGCTTCCTGCTGTCTGTCATGTCTTGCTTTATGAAGATTACCAGCACACCTTTCTAGGATCTCAGTTAGAGAGACCGTAGTGTGCGTTGCTGGCCAGTTGCTGGCCACAGATCCGCAGAGAATGCTTTTGGGTGAGAAAGGAGGGGAGTAGGCTTAGAAAGTGTTAGGAAGCAAGGGACGCCTGTCCACACCTGGACCTGGGCTAGGAATGCTGGAGTCTCCAGACGTTCTGTCCGTCATGGGAGAAAGGTGGACAGTGGAGATTTACAGCCTCCAGAACTGGCGGAGAGTCACTGACATGATCCTGAGGCACCATGAGTAGGTGGTGTGGTGGTTAAAGTACTCACTGCTAGTAGAAGGTCCCTAAAGGTGACAGCCTTGGAAACCTGGGGCAGTTCTGCTCTACCCTGGGGGTTGCTGGGCATTGAGATGGACTCCATCATGAAGGGTTTGGGTTTATTTTTTTGATTAGTCCTTGATTCGATTGTATGGGGTGCAGATAAATAGGAGGTAAAAAGCAGTCCTGCGATCCCAAACGCATGCGGTTTGAATCCACCAGATGATCCACAGAGAACGATGGGCAGTCTTTTCCTGTTTGACTGAACTACCGCTGAAAACCCGCTGTTTAAATGAAGCATCCAGGTACTTCATTTGTCGGGAAACAGTGTTGTTCTTAGGTGCCATTGAGCTTAGTAGGACTCATAGCAACCCTGTGAACAACAGATCTGAACCGTGTCCTGTCCTGTGCTGTCCTCACCACCTCTTACACACTCAGGTTCATTGCTGCAGTGACTGTCAATCCACGTGGGGGAGGGGCTTCCTCTCTCGCACTGCCCCTCCACCTTCTCCAAGGAATAACATCTCTTAGCACCATGCCCAAAATATGTGAGATGAAGCTTCATCATCCTTGCCTCTAAGGAGCACTCTGGATGAAACTTCTCCAGGACATAGCTCTTCTTTTGGCAGTCTTCAGCTCTCTTTCCCAACACCAGAGCTCAAAGGCTTAATTCTTCTTTTATCCTTAGTCGTTGTTCAGCTCTGAGATGCATAGCAAGTGATTGAAAAGACTATGGTCTGAATCAGGAACACCTTAGTCCTTAAACTGACATCATTGCTCCTCAATAATTTGGAGAGATTCTTGACTACTAGACTTTCCTAGTGCAATACGTCTCCTGACTGATAGGACCAAGTCTATTGATGGTGGATCCAAGTAAAATGACGTTGTTGATAGTCTTAATCTTTTCTCCACTATCATGTTGGTCCAGTGGAAAAGGTTTTTGTTTTCTTGACATTGAGATGCAATCCATATTAAAGGCTGCAGTCTTTGATCTTCTGCAGCAAGCGCTTCAAGTCCTCACTTTCAGCAAGCAAGGTTATGTCATCTGCATAATGTAGGTTATTAATGAATCTTCCTCCAATCCTGATGCCACATTCCTCGTAATCAAAGTCTAGTTTCTTGAATACTATGCTTAGTTACAGATTAAATAGATGTGGAGAAAGGATACAACCTTGATGCACATCTTTTCTAATTTTAAACCTTGCTCTGTTCGCTCAACAGCTTCTTGGTCTAGGTATAGGTTTCATGAGCACAATTAAGTGTTTTGGGATTCCCATTCTTCTCAGTGTCAGCCATAATTTGTCATGACCCACATAGACAAATGCCTTTGTATAATCGGTAAAGTACAAATAGGCATTCTCCTGGTATTCTTAGCTTTCATCCAGAATCCATCTGACATCAGCAATGCTATCCCCTGGTGTTGCAGCCTCTTTTAAATCCAGCTTGAGCATCTGACAGGACTGTACCTGTTATTTGAAACATTTCAATCCTTTGAAACATTTCAGTTGGTATCCCATCGATTCCTGGGGCCTTATTTTTTTTGCCAGTGCCTTCAGTGCAACTTAAACTTCTTCCTTCATTACCATTGGCTCTTGATCATATGATTGTTGTTGTTGTGTGCCGTCGAGTCGCTTGCGAATCATGGTGACCCTGTGTACAGCGGCCCTAAACTCTGCTCTGACCTGTGCCAATCACACTGTCTCCAACACACCCATCCCGATTACCCCAGTCACTGAATCAATCCACCTCATAGAGGATCTTCCTCTCCTGCGTTGTCCCTCCACCCTCCCAAGCATGATGTCCCTCTCCAAGGACCGGTCTCTCCTTACAGCATGACCAAAGTGTGTCAGACGAAGCCTCAGAATCCTTGCCTCCAAGGAGCAGCCTGGTTTAACCCTCTTCAGGATGAATCTGTTTGTTTTCTTGGCAGACCGTGGTATTCTCAATACTCTTCTCCAGCACCACAGCTCAAAGCTATGGGAAGCCAAACTTTATACCAAATATTATATGAAAACCCTTGTTCAGGAATTGAAGGAATTACAGATTTATAAGTTAGGATTTCTCTTGTGGCAGATCGTAGAATATGAGCTTTTTGTTCCCTGCAAGACAGGAGACAGCAAGGGGCCCCCTACAGAGGGAGTGTTGCTTCCTGACCTGGAGTTCACCCTGAGGTATCAAGGTTAATAGTTAAGGGTAAACCAAATTCTTGCATTTGTGAACCCCTCCTTCCTGAGTCAAGCATAAGGTTTTCAATAGAAAGAGCTTGGCTTCATTTGTATTTAATTCTCTTTGTGATTTACTTCCTGATAATTTTCAATAAAGATATAGAGAAGCTTGGCTTGGGGGCTTCAGTCGTGAACTGCTGGCCCCCTGTTTTATGCTCTCTGCTCTATCACATTCCTGGCTGTTTGTCTCATTATTAATAATTATAAAATTATTTCATTCTTTGGGACCCTCGGTCTGCAACACAAAGGCATCAATTCTCCTATCCTCCGTAGTCATTGTCCAGCTCTCTGATGCATAGCAAGTGATTGCAAAGACCATGGCCTGTATCAGGTGCACCTTAATTCCCAGAGTGACTCCATGCTCTTCAGTGCTTTGGAGAGGTCCCTAACAGCAGACTTTCCCATCACAATACGTCTTTTAATTTCCTGGCTGCTGGTGCCAAGAATATTGATTGTGGAGCCAAGCAAACTGAAGCTGTGAACAATCTCAATCTCTTCACCATCCATCCTGATGCTGCCAGTTGGTCCAGTGGTGAGAATCTTTGTCTTCTTGATACCATATGGTACTTCCTGAAATATTTCTGCATTGGCCAGTTCTTTTTGCTACAGTGAGTCTGTGTATTTCCTCCATCTTCTTTTCTGTTTCCTAGATCATTCAGTATTTGGTCCATAGCAACTCTTTAAGTATTGCAACTTGAGGCTTGAATTTGTTCTTCACTTTCTTCAGCTTGAGAAATGCTGAATGAACTCTTCCCTTTTTCTTCTCCAGCTCTAGGTCTCTGCACATTCCATCATGGTGGTTGGCTTTGTCTCCCCAAGCTGCCTTTTGAAATCTTTTATTCAACTCTTTTATTTCAGCATCTCTTCCCTTTGCTTTTGCTTCTTCACGTTCTAGTACAATTTTCAGGGTCTCTTAACGTCCATTTTGCTTTTTTTCTCTCTTTTGTCTTTTAACTCTTTTCATGGATGATATCCTTAATACATCTCACAAGTCATCCGATCATAGATCAAGGGGACGAGTGACTTGACACCTGAGTCAAGCAATAATTAAAAATCAAGAGTCAGTTAAGAGTTCCAGAGCGAGCTGGCCCCCTCTGGTGGTCTGTGGCTGTTGGCACACTTTTCTGTGAGCTGCTGTAGAAGTCCTGTCTGCTTTACAGTGTAGACAAGGAACTGCCAGTGCAGTTGATGTACCAGACCCCATACGCTGCTCCCCCTGAGAGGTACCTCAGCCCTGACTTTGGCTCTGAGAATTAGCTTGCCCACTACAGGAGACACGCCCCAGAAGCCCTGGAAGCTGGCCAATGCTCTTTCTCAGGCCGAGGGCTTTCGGTGGTCTGTCGAGGCCGCAGGGTGCAGGAGCTGCCTCCAGGCTTTTCCAGGATGTGATCTCCTGTAGAGCTGTCGGTTGGACCCAAACCACCCACCTCCGGGTTAGCAGCAGAGTGCTTTATCTGCTTGTCTGGGCGCCTTTGTGAACTCCTGCTGCTGTCTGGGGCTCTTTCCTGCCGGTAGCGACTCCTGGCAGTTGTGTGTCTGCTGAGAAGCTTGAGCCTTCGTAATTTTCCTACACGATTAGTAGCAGACTGGTTCCTGAGAGGAAGAAGTCAGCTGTGTCCCGGGTGCTTGATCTGCTGTACTGCTCCGTGATTTCCGACACTGGCTGTTCTTCCTCCATTCCGTTCTCCCACTC